TTCTCTAGTTATCATTGCTCACAGATAAGTCCCAGGCTCCTTGGAGAAGCAAAACACTAGTTTCATGCAGCCTGGCCATCTCCCAGGACCCTTGCCATCCTCACCACTCCCCTTACGCCCAGCCGCCTCACATTTAGTGACAGGGAACCAGCTTCAGTTCCCTGGACACACCCTGTGTCTTCTCACTTTCAGCAATCCCATTTGCCTACCCAGGAAACTCTTCAGGACTTACTTATTTGGTGAACTCCTTCATGGCCCAGTTCATGACTCCTTGAAATAGAATGTAGGGCTCACATCAAAGCAATCCCAACACACCATGGACATGACCCTCTGCTGGGCACCGCTAACATTTACACGTCATCCCCTCCCCTCCTACCTTGCCCAGGCTAAATGGCTTGGGCGTTCCTCACGATGGGTCCATTGCACATAGTGGCAGCTCCCTTGCCCTTCTCTCACGTTTCCGGGGACAAACTCCAGCCCTGGGTAAATCCTACTCTTTGCCTGCACCAGGCAGCTGAATGTGCAAACTCACTTCGCTCATGTCGTTGGGTCTTTCAGACTACCTGATGGCCTCTTTTATTTCCCTGGCCTGGGTTCTTTTTAAATTTTCAACTTGAAGCAATTATTCACACCTTCTCTTCCCAAACTTCCAACATCTCCTCTTTTCTCATCAGTCTCAGGATCATCTTGCTCTCTTTCACTGAAAAAATAAACATATTCAAAGGAGAAGTTTCAAATGGCTAATAAGCATATGAAAAGCCACCCGACATCATTAGTCACCAGAGTGATGTAAATTAAAGCCTCCATCTGATATCACCATCAGCCACTATTATGGTTAAAATGACAAAAGCAGATAGTATTAGCAAGGAGATGAAGCAAACTCCCACATGTTGCTAGTGGGAGTGTAAGTTGGTAGATCGTTTTGTCAAGCTATGTGACAGTATTCACTAAAGATGAACATATGTGCACGTTATAACCCAGCAATTTCACTCCTACATGCACACCCAACTGAAATCTATACATATGCTCCCTAAAATACCTGTTCAAGAAAGGTCCTAGGAACAGAATTCGCAGCAGATAAAAGCCAGATACCACGCAAACATTCCGCAACGAAAGAGTAGGCAGACTGCAGTGTACTCAGTGGAATATTCCACAGCAGCGAGAGTCTTCGAAGTACTGCTACACACAGCATGAGTGAACGTCAAAAATAGGATGCTGTGTTTATAGAGACAAAGGTATAGTATTTATACCAAAATTTTAAAAAGATTCTGTGATGTTAGAAGATGATTATCTTTGTGGCAGCTTGGGAATGAACTGCAAAGGGTCACGTGCAGCACTCTGGCCGACTGTGATGTTTCCTGATCTGGGTTCAAGCTGTGTAGGTGTGCTCACTCTAAAACTTCTTGATCTATATTTGGGATGTTTGTACTTTGCTACATGTCTGCTATTCTTCAGATGAGATGTTAATTAAAAAGAAAGAAAACCACAAATCCCACCACTGCCCCCTCCCACCTACCGACAGCTGAGCCCATCCACCCTGTCTTCCTCCCGTTACTCTGCAAACCGTCCCTGCTTCCCAGTGACGACGCAGCTTTCTTCTTAGGTACACAAAACCATCCCTCTCTTCTTCACTGGGATGTGGCTCTCGTTCTCATGTCTTTTCCTCTGAGTAGCCATTTCTCATTAATCGACAAATACCACTTTTCCAATTTTTAAGACAACTTTCTCCTAACCTTTAGTTACCATGTATTTCCCCTAACTTAAAGGAAACCCCAGTGATGTATCAGTGCTCACTGCATTCAGTTTTGCTCTGACATTCTGTCTGAATCACCTCCACCCTCCACAGAAAGCGACCTTGTTAAGATCCCACCACACTGCTCAGTCCAGTGGCCACTTCCTCATCCTCGTCTTCCCTGATTCTCAGCAGGTATCAGGGCCGTCGTCCACACCCTCATCTTAGGACACCCTCCCCCGGCATCCAGTGCACCACATCTCCAGCTCTTCTCCTACCACACTACCGCTCCTCTGCAACTACTCAGTTCCTTGTCTCCCTGACCTCGTTTTAGCTGACGCCAGAACTCTTCGGAGCCTCTCTGCTATGTTTGAGGGCCTCGTTTGAGGCCCTGCTGTGGCTAGGATATTGCTTGAATGTGTCCCCAAAAAGTGTGCTAGAAGCGTGGTGCCCCATGTGGTGCTGTGAGAGGAACTCTGATAAGCAGTGTCCCGTGGGAAGTCAGGAAACAATCCTCACAGCAAGAACTGAATGATTCTTGTGGTCCCTGCTGCTCTCATGAGAAGGTTGCTGTAAGACCGATCCTCTCCTCTCTCGCTGGCTCCTGGTCTCTCTCTGAGATCACCGTTTCTCATGCCCATTCCTGCTATGCTGCCATCCCTGATGTGATGTAGCCAAGGGGGCCCTCAGATCAGATGTTAATTTAAGAAGATTAAATCAGCAGGACCACCCTGTCTTGGGCTTTTAACCACCAGAACACATCCATCTCTTAGCGTCTCTTCCCAGATGTCTGATGGACAGGTCCAGTTTGCAAAACTGAACTCCCAATCTTTCCCTAAAAAACTATCCTTTTAGAAGATTCCCATTTTATTCATGACAATTCCATCATTTTATAGGACAAAACCCTTGGAGTTATTCTTGACTTCCTGGCATATATATATATATATATATATTGAACTTGAGTCCTTGTGCTTACAAGGCACCTGGCCTATTTTTATTTCTTTGAGACTGGGTCCTGCTAAGGTGCCCAAGCTGGGCCAGAATTTGCAATCCTCCTGCCTCAGCCTCCCAGAGCACTGGGATTATAAACTTGTGCCACTACATTCAGCTCTGGTGAACACTTTAATGACTCTGGCTGTTGTGTTAAGGACAGTCTGGCTCAATGGAAACCCAGAAGGAGAAGGCTCTGGCAATAATCCAGGCACTGCATAGTGGGGGCTTAGCCTAAGAACAAAAGCATGGAAGTTATGAAAATGGCCAGATTCTGAAAACTTTCTTGAAGGTTTAATTTGAAAATTTTCCGGCAGACTGGGATTGTTTATGGCAGGAAGGGAGGGAAGTTGATGTGTGGTAAATAGTAAAAGCTCAGTTCATATTTGTGGAAAGAATGAATGATTTCATTGCTTATCAGTACACCAAACTCCAATAAAGGCAAGAGCCGTATCTTACTCATCTTTATAATAAAATGGTGGACTGGATGGACGAAATAAGAACAGTGCTTTGTATCAGCTGAGGTACTTAAGTGTTATTAGTTTCTCCATCTTAAATTAAAATACTCGACTTCTCCAACTAAATTATGTTACATGTCCCCAAACAAGTAATGGACTGTCATTTCTACCTCTTCAGAAAAAAAAAAAGTGCTCACGGCTATGGCTGGGCTTAGTGGTACAGCACTGCAGAGCCCTGGGTTTGCTCCCTTGCAATGACAATACAGTTATTAAAACAATGCTCAGCAGCCCATAATCAAAACTAAAGAGGAAATTTAAACCTCAAGAGGTAATACAAACATGCTCAATTCATTAGTAAGATTTTTCCTTTCCAGAGAAAGGTTAAAGGAACAGATAAGACTGTGAAAGGAACAGTCTACAGAGGTGTTGGTTTAACTGTTTGAGTTTTATAATTCACTGCACATGGGAGGAAGCTGAGCCTTATGAGATGAAGACTTTATGTTTACTAAAGGACACGTCCTATTTTCCTGAATGTATTTCTAGAGAAAATTTCAATGCTTCAAAAATTCCAGTAACTTAACTCCCCGCAAAATGACAAGTTCACATATTGTTAAGTTTATATGAAAAGTTATAATTTATTCTTCACCAAAGCTTCTAGAGCCAAATGATTATGAGGCCAAAGGCCTGGGTTCTTTTCTCAGAACGCCGTCTACATCGGGCACCTCCGTGGTGGGGCTGGAGCACAGTCAGTATTACACATGGGTGGGTCAGTACTCACCATGACGATGGTCAGTGGAGAATACAGTGTTTAAAAAAAAAAAAGGCAATCGTAAACTTCTAAATAGGAAATTCACTGAGTTACACACAGTAACTCCGAGGGGCACAGAAGAAACATTGATTGAGAGAAAACTTGACGGACTTAATGACAATCAGAAACGAGGAAGCACGTGAACAACCCATGGCATGTCAACAGGAACATCATTTGAATCACGCAAGTGAACTTGTCTATAAATCACTTTTCAGAACAGATGGTATGTGGAGTAAAAAGCTGTGCTTTACTCAAAGGCCACTGCCTACAATCGTATAGCATGTCTTGCTCATTACAAAAGAGGATGAATTCGAGTCAGCATTTATCTCTAGAGTTTCAGAAAGAAAACAGAAACACACACTGTTGTCCTCCCACCAGAAAATGTGGAATATGCAGCATCACCACTAATGACCCTGCCGTTCACACAGTGAAATAAGGGAGTTTTAACTCAGTGAGTCCAACCCTGGAATAGACAGCCTGGTTTAGCTGGACGATCCTAGTTTGTTTTCTTTTCTCAGTATAATTACTAACAGCACAGCCCCTTTCCCTTCTGAAATGTGTTCCCATTTGCTTAATAAATTATATTCTAGGGCCCAGGGATTTAGCTCAGCAGTTCGGTGGCCTGCCTTGCAAGCGCAAGAACCCGAGTTCAATCCCCGGTACCAAAAAAAAAACAAAAACAATTATATTCTACTTTACCTAACTGGCTGTTCGGGAACATTAATCTTTGGCTGTGGAGCTGGTAAAATCAGCACCATAGTTTTTCAAGAACGACATGGGTGGTCAAACTGGTTGAATCACCTTCATTTTCCCTTACAGAGAAGTTATGAATCTGGCAATGTACACAAAATAGGAGAGCTTTTGATAGTGAAAGACCCAGCTCTGCTCCTTTGCATTCTTTTGAATTTGCTATTCATACAGCTTGCCAGGACCGCTTCAGATAATGGAAACTCTCTTGCCAGCCACTGGAGATTTTAAATGTCACCAAGAGTTAAGAGAAGAAGTCTCACACAGTTTTATCTGTTTATACTATTTCTGGCTTATCAGACAAAACATAGAGGCAGGGCTTTGAATCAGGAGCTATTTATTTTTAAATTAACAACAGCAAAGGGAAGGCTCTTTTTTCCCACTCCTCCCAACTCTAAGCCCAGAAGTATCAGGAAGGTATCTCCACGGAGTTGAAAAGCTGACACCGGGCATTCAGCCGAAGTCCAGAGTCCTCTGCCTCCCTTCCTGTCCCAAGCAGCAGCAGTTCTCATGCTGGCTGAGAAAGTGAGCAGAGGAACAGCTGGAGAGGGGCTGGACAGGTGACAGCAGGTCTACTTACCCGCACTCCAACCGCAGCACCCTTACCCCGGGGGTGCCACGGATCCCGGAGCCCTGGTTCCCCACCCCGTGTTGTCCCAGGAGGCTCTGACACTTGCACATCTTCCTGCCCCACAGGCAGCACTCGTCTGTCGTGTGCCTCACAGTCCAGTCCCGTAGATGGCCTTGTGGCGTAGGTACTCTTCCAAGCACTGAAGAACATTATCGTCCACCCTCGGATCAAACTTGTTGGCCAACAGGTGATGGTTCTGCAGCATCCAGTGCAGGTCCCCAGCCCCATAAATACAGACACCCCGCTGGTGGATTCCAGAGCAAGGGCCGTAAGGTGCCCCCCGGCTGACATCTCCCTCGTGTTGCTGCCACTTGACCAGCCTGGCGATGGAGGTCATGTCTGAGATGTCATACTTGGGGTGCAAGGGAGAAGAGCCAGGCATCCAAAGGGCACGCTGAAGTGTGGCCCAGAGGTGTTCATCAGGACTGTAGGTATCTTTTGCCCACTCAATCAGTTGTTGGGATTTGGGGTTCTGTAAGACATGATGAACGAAGTCTCGAGAAGCCACAATATAGGCATTGCCGGTGAACATGGTTGTGTTATTAGGTGGAGGATCTTTCTTCTTGTTGGTGATGTACAATGTGTTCTTCACCACATAGTGATATTGCCAGCGGATTTTTTTGTATTTATTGGGTATTTCTGACTCCATACTGTTTTTCCCATTCAACATCTTCAGGGCCCGGACCATCTCAGCATTGGTCTTTATAGGAAAGTCGGTCCCACAGGTATTCAGCAAGTATTTCCAAGGCACCGAGCTCTGGAACAAGTCCTCCATACAGTTCAGGTCGGCTTGTACCCTGGACCAGGAGGCGTAAACTACTGGAACCAGCTTGCTGGCTATGAAGACATTTGGGAAGCATGAAGCGATCGCCCTGACTGCCTCTTTGAATGTTTCTGGAGACTTCTGGTCCACGTGGACACAGTATATATTCTGAGGGGCGTACACAGCTCGAAGCAGCCTCTCGAAGTTTTCAATTTTCTCATGAACCACCATGGAGTATGCAATAGGGAAGTCGAACTCTTCTCTGCTCAGTGAGAACTGCACGAACCTCCTTTTGGCCTTAAATTCCTCACAGTCTCTGGTCATAGTGATGTAGTCAGCATCGGAGAAAGGCTGCCGCTCCTTCCTGACCTCCAGGTTATTCAGAATAGCCTGGATCACTGCTTCCTGGTCCCCTCTGGTGATCCCCGAACAGTTAACGGACCTCTTTGTGGGCAGCCTCAGGGATCTGTACAAGATATTCCTACAGTACTGGGTGGGCAGTTCCTTGGAGTCCAGATAGAGCTGATCAAAATCACACTTCAGCCTGAGCGAAAGTCTCAGAGCAACAATGGCTAGCACCGTGTAACAGCCCAGGACCCACATGTGATGATGCCGGCAGAGTCTCTTCCACGGAATCATCTTCAGAGGACACAAAACCAGTGCACACAGGGAAGAGGTGGAGGACTGACTCCTTGGGTGGAACAAAATGCCTCCAGTTACCAACTAACCATGAGCACATTCATGGGAATGTCAAGTTCAAGCCCAAACTGAGAGCTAACTAGCTATTTCTTCTCTGGACAAACATCCTCCACAAACACCTGCCTGGGAGATTTTTACACCTGGCTTCCTGTTGGAGCACTAAAACCTGGCCCTGCAGACTGGCTGACCACAATGGATCAGGATCCGGCTCCACCTCCTCCGCAACAGGAGCACACAGGAAAGTTAAGGTCTAATTAGAGGAAATCCCCGCCCTTCACTCATTCTTGCTCCAACCCCTTACTGCCCTAGAATCGAGCTCTTAGCTGGAGTCTGCAATTCTTAGTGAGTCTGGAAACAAAATCCATGAAATTCAGACTTAGCACCAATTCTGGAAGTCTAAAAGTCCTTTTAAAAGCACAACTACAGGCTAGCGGTGTGGTTCAGTGGTAGAGTTTTTGTCCCACATGCAAAAGGTCCTGAATTCAATCCCTAGCACCGTAAAAAAGTAAGAATTTCTAAAAAAGGAAATGTACATTTCTTGCTTCTACTTGGCAATTTACATATTAAAACGCTTTTCCACATATATCATTCAATGGTCACACGTGGTGTCTAGGCAACCTTTTTTAAAAATGTCCTTGGCCGGGCGTGGTGGCGCACACCTGTAATCCCAGCACTCGGGAGGCTGAGGTAGGAGGATCGCTGTGAGTTCGAGACCAGCTTGGGCTACATAGTGAGTTCCAGGTCAGTCTCAACTACTACCAGGTCAGTCACAACTACGTAGTAAGACCCTGTCTCAAAAAACCAAAAAACAAAACCAAAAATGTCCTTAAAGAAGTACAAATGAAGCCAGGCACCAGGGGTGTATGACTGTAATTTTAGCAACTTGAGAGGCTGAGGCAGGAGCACCTCAAGTTCAAGGCCAACGTTGGCAACTTAGCAAGACTTTGTCTCAAAATAAAATTTAAAAAGGAACTGGGGATGTAGCTTAGTAGTAGAGTGATCTTCTACCTTGGACGTGACCCTGAATTCAATCCCCAGTCCTGAAAAAAAAAAGCATAAAGTTGATGATATTATCCATAAAATGCACCGTGAGTACTGACATACTCCATCAAATTTAAAACAGATGTATGTCCACTCAGGGACAAACACCTCTGTGCAATATTTCATGAGGGCCTTATATAGGCCAAAGAGTTACATTTTTCCATTTAATTTTCACAACCAATGAGGCTTTTCTAAATAGAAAAACAGAAACCATATAACTTACTGAATACTACAGACGTTATAAGAAGAAAATGCAGGGCTTCCCCCCACTCTCCCATCGACCAGCCTAATGTTTCTCCCACCAAACCACACCCAGTTTATAAAAAACTCCGGGTACTCAGTACCACCAAAGAAAACCAGATATCACAGGGGAAAAAACAAAATGTCACGCATCCATATAGCAATGATTATTCTTCCCTTGTTACATCTCCTTCTAAGCTTAAAATTAATTGTATCCTCTTTAATAATAAGAGTTATGTGAATCTAAGAGGAAGAAAGATGAAAAATTATGAACATTCTCACCTTGAACAGCTTCCTTTCGGCCTTAGGAAGACCTCTTGTCAGGGTAGGATTCTGTTTCCAGGTGAAGACAAGGTGGGTTCCAGGGAAGGAACCGTAGACACCATATCCTATAGCCTTCTTTCTTCTAAACCTTCAAAATATATTTTCTGACATTCCCAAGATACAGATTCAGGGTCCTCTTTAATCTCTGCAAGGTAGAGAAGAGCAGGGAGCTCTGTCACCTTTAGGCTTCCTGCTCTCAGATAAGGGAGGAAGCTCAGATACATCACTCAGGAGCAGATTCTCAGGGAGAAGCGTGAAGCAGAGGAAAAACTGCTGGCAGTGTCTGAAGGCAAGCAAGCATTTCAGCCAGAACAGCCAGTGTATACTCTCCTGCCATGAAGCTGTTCACAAGACCTGACACTGCTCATGCAACGATTTAAGAGTCTTTCCTTCTCCACCCAACAAGGAACCATAGAAACAACAGGTATGCCCTGCCTCCTTTTGTTTGGGGGTAACAGTCACTCTGTGTTCCTCAAACATCACAAGTAAGAGGCACTAAAAATACTCGCTCAACAGTTTTTTCTTTTGTTATTAAAAAAAAAAAATCAATGAAAGCCGAGCCAGAGTTCATTCTTTCTTTTTTCCTGGCCTTGTAATTTTTTTATTCATTAAATTTATTGGTACATTCTAGGTATACAATATGATGACATTCATCATGGGGAATTGGTATCTTTACATGATGTATCTTGGTTCTTATTTTTTCCCCATTTCTCTGCCCTCCACATTTCAACCCCTCCACTCCTCCCTATTTACAAAGGCTTTGTTTCTGTTTTTTCCTTTTTTCGGATTTTCCCCTTTCCCTTCTTTCCATTCTTCAAAGGAAGTTGCTAAAATTTTTTTTTTTAATTGCTAAAAACCTTTGGGGGCTGAGGTTGTGACTCAGTAATAAGAGTGCTTAGCTGGCCTGTGTGAGCTCCTGGGTTCAATCCCCAGGGAACGGCAGGGGCGGGTGGATGAAGGAGAAATGCGTTGTTTCAGGTCAGCAGAGGTTGACATAAAACTGTTAGTCAAGTCTTTCTAGAGGGGAGAAAGGAGAACCTCAATGATCTAAGGATTTAGAGGGCATTTCCTAGAGAAGAACTAGTGCTGTGCCGAGTCCTTTCCATGATTCCTCCCCTCCCCGCTCCCCGTTTTCCCTGTCTTCTCTCCTCCAGACCTTGGAGTCCAGAGTAAAAAGATCTCCCTCACTATCGTCTGAGAATCTAGAGTTCTGAGTTTGCCTTCCTTCCCTACCTCATCCGCAACTGCCTCCCCAACAGTAGCACTCCCAGCCAACATCTTAGAGCCACGACACATGAAGCACTTAGCTGGTTATAAAGTTAAGTAAATAACTGAGAAAGTGGGAGAAGGTGATGAGGTTGAGTTATTCAGCTGTACCAATTGTTGGGAGCAGCCACAAGTCAGCCTGAAGGAATTAAGGCTGTAAATGGAAATTACCTAATTTAACATTTCTGTACAGGGGCCCTAAAAAGGTTAAAGTAAGGACCTCTGGGGAGGGGTGTGCCGAGGCCTCCAAGATATTGCGGTCTGCCAGATATTGCAGCCCCCATAAACGGCTTTAGTTAGGTAAGCAGCTGTTGACGTGGCCACGCAAGATACCGGAAATAGTTGTTAAGGACACCGGAAGTAGGCGGTAATGACAACCGAAGTCCTGCGTCTGGCCTGCCAGTCTTCCTCCAACAACACCCGCCCCTCCTTGGTAGAGCCTTACTCCCCGCATCATTAAGCGAGTACGGAGGGGGTAAGCGTTATCTGAGGACATAAGGTAATAATGATGAATCTTAGTCACTTACCCTCTTGATAAGGGAATTGTTTGCACCGTACCCAATGCTCTCAGACAAGAGGCCTGAGAAGGTCATCAGCACCCCTGCTTGTGCTGGCCCCAGTCCATAGGCTGTCTTCTTCCAGCTTCCCAGTTATAAGTGGAGGAGAGAGAAGAGAATGTCTGCAAAGGAACACAGGAAGATTAAGGACCAGGCAATGTGCTGAGATCAAACAAGCCCTTGGAAAGGTGGCCAGCAGATTCCACTCCTTAATTCCTTGATGGCCCTGAAGTAGAGATGGGAGACGAAGGGCCCATTCTTGAGCAACTGGGATCCCAGGCAGAAACCCATCCCTGGAGCTGAGCCCCTTCTTCAGGGTTCCTTGCCCCTGCTGAGGAGAAACAGAGCCACATGATCCTCGGGGCAAATTTCTCCAAAAGCCCAGCACTACATGAAGATATTTAGATGTCCACATGGTAAAAAGATGGTGGCATATCTCAAATATCCAAAGCAAAAACAACATGAAACCAGATACTGGTAAGTATAAGGAAGTTTTCTCTCAATGACTACTATGATGTTGTTTTTGAAGTAGCAGACTCTTCCCCCAAGACTCCTAAGTCCTTTTCTCTTAATCATGAGTTTAGCCTGTCTATTGGACAAATAGCTTTGAAAGGATACGCGTGTCCGTTGTGAAGAAGAGGAAGACTAAGCCAGGGTCATCGGGGTGCATTTGGGAGAAGCCAGTGGAATTTAGTGTTAACCTCAGTGCACTTTCAGGGGACTCCACAGTCCCAAAAACAGGGTCAGAGAAGGGCCTGGGCATCGGGGGTCTATTTTTAAACTGCAATTAGGTACCAGATCTTTTACTTGTTTTATAATGGTAGCATTTAACCCTGCTGTGTTTCAGCTCCAAGGTCATTGAGAATCTCTGTTTCCTCTTAGCACAAGTGAATCATAGGTGTCATCAGAATTCCAAGGAAGAAAAGGGCGGCTTGTAGGGTGGTGGCCATGGGTATCAAGGGCCATGAGTAACAGGAGTCCATCCGGTGACCCTTAGAGAAACAAATATGATTCAGAGAGGTAGTAAGTCAGAATAGATAAGTGGGAAAACCAGGTTAATGTGTTGCTTCTCAGGCTGGAACTGGGGTTGGAGAGAGAATAAGTGCTGAAGGGTGTGGGGCGGATGTGTTCTGAACTTCAGCCTTATTTAGTGTTCCGGCACAGGGGCTGCTGGTGGAGATGGGCTCATTATCTCTGGCCACCGAGAAGGAGTTAACAGACCCGATGTGGATAACTTTGTTAGCAGTTAGAGCTGTAAAGTGAGGTGCATGAGAGAGTCGGAGTTTACTTAAAGATCACACTGTTGTTCCTCCATAGATCTCCACCCACTGTTTGCAGCCAGAGCTCCTGGAGGGCTCTCCTGCACACACTACCCTTGGCCTGGGGGAAAGGAGACCAAAACTAGAAATTCCATTTGATCCAGCTATCCCCCCCAGGTACTTCCCCAAAGAGTTACGTATCATTTCACAGTGATTCATGCACACCCACGTTCATGGCAGCCCAACTCGTAATAGCGAAAGCCTGGAAGCAGGCTGTGTGTCCATCAGCAGATGAATGGATGAAGAAAATAGGTATTTTCACACAATGGAGCACCACTCTGCCATAGAAAGATAAATCAGCGTTATTTATAGGAAGGTGGAAGCACCTTGAGACCATAACGTTAAGTGAAATAAGTCAGACACACAAGCTTAAATATCGTGTGGTTTCTCATATTTGAGAAACCCAAATTATGAAAAGCAAAATAAAAACTAGATAATTGGAAGTAGGGAGATAGGAGTTTATCACATGGAAAGGGAAGCAAGAGATGGTAGGAGGAGGGTTTAGAGGAGGGAAAGAGGATGAAAAAGGAATTGGGATGTGTCATGCACGCGTGTAGCAACTCCACGCAAGGACTGCACACCTTGCCTGCTGCAAATGTGTACTCATAAAAAGAAGGAGAAAATGAAACGGAGCCAAAACTCACAGAACTTAAGCACTTTTCTAATGAAGGTATGGGAAACTCCTGAAAGAAACTTGATCTTCCCAGGTGACGCATCCCAGCCACGTGGAGGGTGCCCCACATTCTGCAAAGGTTGGGCCTCCTGCTGCTCAGCTGCCCCGCTGTCCCTGAGCACCACAAGTGAGGCCCAGACGGGGCAGTGACGTCCTCACCCTCCATCCCCTCGAGCTCTCCAAAACTGATTCAGCCTCACCGTGGAGTCGTCAGCTCCCAGAGGACAGGAATCCTGTCGGATCCCACTGGGCCTCAGCGCCTAGCACAAGACCACGCGGGAAGGAGACTCAGCATGAGCATTTGCCAAGTGAACAGCCACCCCCGTGCCCCACGCATCCCACCCAGGAGGCCCTAGTACCAGGCTCTCAGCAGTAGCGTTCCTGGAGCTCACAGACCGAAACTCTCCAAAGCCAGCCAGACACAAAGACCGAGACCCACAGAGCTGAAGCTAAATGAAATGCAAACAGCACTGAAGGGGTCCGTTTTACTGAACAGACTTTCTCTGAAGTACGGTGATAGGAGATGGGATTTGGAGGCGTGAAACAGCAAATAAATACATGAAAAAAGGTTCCACGTCGCTGGTCGTTCGAGAAATTAAAACAACACTGAGACTCCATCTCACCCCAGAAAGAACGGCCGCCATCACGAAATCAGCCAGTAACAAATGCTGGCGAGGCTGTGAGGATAAAAGGAACCCTGCTCCACTGCTGGTGGGGGTGTGAATTGGAGCAGCAGCTAATGGAAAGCGTCTGGGGATTCCTCAAAAAACTAACACGAAAGGTCCCATTTGGCCCAGCTATTCCTCTTCTCCAAAGAGACATCACCGAACTACAGTGGTCCGCGCGTGCCCATTATAGCAGCACAATTCAGGACAGCTGAATCTTGGATCGGCCCTGCCCAGCGACAGATTGGTAAAGAAAATACGGTATTTGTATGTATATACTGGAATACCGTTCTGCCATAGAAAGGATAAATTTGAGGCATGTTTAGGAAAATGGATGCATCTTGAGACCATAGTCTTAGGTAAAATACCTCAGACACACAAGTTTAAATATCACATTGTTTCTCTTAGGCGAGAGAGCTAAAGAATAAGTAAATCAGGAACAAAATGGAGGACAGATCTTCAAAAGTAGGAAGAACTTGTTGAAACGGGAAAGGGAACAAGAGGGAGCCGGGGAAGGGAAGGAAGGGAAAGGGGATTTTAGAAAAAATTGAAA